ACTCTCTACCTGTGCATTCAGGTTTTCTTTTCCCACCACTGAGGGTGGGAGAGCTTCAAGGGGGGGGGCTCCCCAGAAGTTCCTTCCCTGGTGATGGGCGGGGTGGTGGTGGAGGGGGCCCTTCCATTTTGATTTCCTGCCTGGGGCACCAAGCAGTCTTCGGCTGCCCCTGCTTGGCGGGCTTCCTGTTTAGATTTCTGCAAACTGCTCCTCACTTCCGCTTCTCTCCCGGGGAGGCTCACCACGCCCGCCCGGGGTCCCTTCCTCCGCAGAGGCGATGGGAGGCGGCAAGGAGGTGGGCAGAGCAATTCGGGGCGTCCTCCCTTCCTCCGTGGGGCCCGAAAGGCCAGAGGTTAAAAATGGGACTTTTCCGACTTTCCCAATGAACAGAAAGCAGAAGCTTTGAGAAGAGTGACGTTCCTTCATGAGATGCTGCGTCTCCCGAAAGCTTTGGCCTTTTAATGAAATACACAGGCAGTCCTCGACTTACGAGCACAGTTGAGCTCAAAATTGAGTCCCTTGGTAAGCAAGACTACGGCGGAGTGTGTTTTGCCCCGTTTTGTGACCTCTCTTGCCACCGTTGTTAAATGAATCACTGCAGTGGATAAGTTACAATTAACCAGTGGAACCACCTGCCTCCAGAAGCGGTGGATGCTCCCAACACTGGAAGTTTTTAAGAAGAGACTGGACAGCCATTTGTCCGAAATGGTACTATAGGGTTTCCTGCCTGAGCAGGGGGTTGGACTAGATGACCTCCAAGGTCCCTTCCAACTTTATCATCATTATTATTATTATTATTAGTTAGTAACCTAGTTATTAAGAGAATCTGGCTTCTTCCATTGACTTGTTGGAATGTCACAAAAGGGGATCCCAGGAGCCCCCCCTGTGACATGCGACTGTCACAAATCTGAACTGGTTGCCAAGCATCCGAATTTTGATCAGTGGGGATGCTGTGACGGTCATAAGTGTGAAAAAACGGTCATAAGTCACATTTGTAACTTCAAATGATCAGCAAATGAAAGCTTGTAAGTCGAAGTTTACCTTTATTTGTTGAAAAATGGGGCTCCTACACTGGGTCTCTAGCTGCTGGTTCTCTAGCACGAAAAGAAGTCTGGAACACAGATAAATGGATGGATGGATGGATGGATGGATGGATGGATGGATGGATGGATGGATGGATGGATGGATGGATGGATGGATGGATGGATGGATGGATGGATGGATGGATGGATGGATGGATGGATGGATGGATGGATGGATGGATGGATGGATGGATGGATGGATGGATGGATGGATGGATGGATGGATGGATGGATGGATGGATGAATGAATGAATGAAATAGCCTTGAGACACTTCCCGGCCTCTCCAGGCCATTTGTCCACCAGGCCAGCACTTCGCTGCCTGCTGTGACCCCCAACAGCCCCACCTCGTTCAGCACCCCCACCTCGTTCAGCAGACTCTGGGGAGCAGAATAAATGGGACAGGGGATCTGCAAGCCCAGAGCAGCCCATAGACCCCTTCTGGGCTTATGGGGAGCTGGTGCAAGTGGGGTGCAGAAAGGAGGGTCCCTGCTCAGGAAAGCAAAGCCCCCCTGAATCTTCTCCCTAGAAGTAAGACAACTGCACTTCTGTGGGCTGAAGACAGCCAAGGAGGACTAAGGGGGCCATGACAGCAGTCTTCCGATATCTCAGGGGATGCCCCAAAGAAGAGGGGGGTGTCCAGCTATTCTCCAAAGCCCCTGAAGGCAGGACAGGAAGCAACGGATGGAAACTCATCAAGGAGAGAAGCAATCTAGGACTATCCTGACAGGGAGAACAATTAACCAGTGGAACAGCTTGCCTCCAGAAGTTCTGGGTGCTCCATCCCTGGAGGTCTTCAGGAAGAGACTGGACTGCTATTTGTCTGGAATGATTTAGGACAGGGGTAGTCAACCTTGGCTCTTTTATGACTCGTGGACTTCAACTCCCAGAATTCCTGAGCCAGCACAGCTGGCTCAGGAATTCTGGGAGTTGAAGTCCACGAGTCATAAAAGAGCCAAGGTTGACTATCCCTGACGTAGGGTCTTCTGCTTGAGGAGACCTTGGACTAGGAGACCTCCAAGGTCCCTTCCAACTCTTGTTCTTCTATAAAATTCTGTGAATTCTGGTCCCTCAAGTCTTCCAATGGTGCCGCCATCACTATTGTGACTAGGTCCAGCCATCTCATGATGGTTGTCCTCCTTCTCCTCTCCTTCCTTCCTTCCACCTTTCTCAGCCTTAGAGTCTCCTCTAGAGAGCTGGGTCTTCACATCATGTATATGAAGTAGGATAATTTGAACTTGGTCATTGGTGCTCAAAGGAGAACTCTGGGTTGGTTTGATTTGATTTGGTTTCTTGGTTGACCCCTTCCTTCCTTCCTTCCTTCCTTCCTTCCTTCCTTCCTTCCTTCCTTCCTTCCTTCCTTCCTTCCTTCCTTCCTTCCTTCCTTCTATCCTTCCTTCCATCCTTCCATCCTTCCTTCCTTCCTTCCTTCCTTCCATCTAGTCATTCAACATGAGAACTAACTATCAGCCACATCATTTTCAGAGACATAAATCAGTTCCCACAAGTCCTATTGCATCTTGAAAGCTCACCAATTAATAATAATAATAATAATAATAATAATAATAATAATAATAATATAATATTATAATAATAATAATAATAATAATAATAATAATAATAATAATAATAATAATAATAATAATAATAATAATAATAAAGTTGGAAGGGACCTTGGAGGTCATCTAGTCCAGCCCCCTGCTCAGGCAGGGTACCCCACAGCATTTCAATTCGTGGAAGAACAGCTAAAGTGCGAACTGTTTACCATCTGCCCCAAGTCTTGTTAGAGTCTTACACTTTAACTGACCATTTACTGTAAGCCTGTCAACTCACACAAACGGCACCCTCCTGGAAACGCTTACAACTTGATTTCGCATCACCCACATCGAGGCGTGCCACGACAATTCACAGAGAAAGAAAAAGAGCGACGAGAGGTTTTGCGCGTTGCTGTTTTTTTTTCTTCGTTGCGATGCAATTAGGAAAGCTTTCTGCAAACGGATTGTGTGAATTTAGCTGCGAAGGGAGGAGGCTGGGAGGGCTGCAGTCAAGCTGCACAATCCTTTGTCGCCTTGGGTGGGCTCGCCAGGGAAAGCTGGACCAGGCCGCTGTCCGAAATCCAGGACAGCTGCGTTCAAGCTGGACTGGACAGGCTGAGTGAGAACTGACCAGCTGTCTCAGTCTAAAGCCAGCAACTTTTAAGACTCCCAGAATCCCCCAGCCAGCATAGTTCGGGGACCAGCTTGGCTCTTTAGGCCAGGGGTCTCCAAACTCAGCAACTTTAAGACTTGTGGACTTCAACTCCCAGAATCCCCCAGCCAGCTAAAGTTGGCAAGGTTGGACACTCCTGGTCTAAAGCAAGTGCTGGTCTTGCTAGCCCAGTGGTTCTCAACCTGTGGGTCGGGACCCCATTTGGGGTCGATCGACCATTTCATGGGGGTCGCCAAGCAAGGCTGTCCGCCATTTTTTTTGTCCGCTATTTTTTTTCCCCTTTTCCGGTGGGTGCCTTACCTCCCTTGGGCTGGGCCAGCTGGTGGTCGGCCTGCTCCGTCTCTGCCGCTTGCCAGCTACGCCTCGGCCGGCGCAGGGGGCAAAACCACGCATGCGCGGCACTCCCGGGCAGGGAAAGTCCTCGACTTACGACCGGTTGGGTAGTCCTCGACTTACGACCGGTTTAGTCCTCGACTTACGACCGGTTTAGTCCTCGACTTACGACCGGTTGGGGTCGCGGCATTAAAAAGGTTGAGAACCACTGTGCTAGCCATTTGTGGCCACCCCTTGAACACAGGGCAGGAAATGAGTCGTGTGCCCCTTTCGGAGTGGACCACCATCGGCTGGGAGGGGGGGCATCTTTTTAAAGCAGCCCACCCAGCCTGTAAAATATTAAAACGGGAAGATCTATAAAAATGGAAGAATCCAGACAAGTGAAAGGGGGGGGCTGGCTGTCTCGAGCATCTGGTGCCTCTGGGGGGGGGCAGCGAGGAAGAGCAGGCCGGGAGGGGCTGACTGGGTCTCTCACACACACACGTGCAGACAGTCCTCAACGTACGACCTATAATTGAGCCCCAAATTTATGTCGCTGAGGGAGAAATTTGTTAAGTGAGTTTTGCCCCTTATTAACGACATCTTTTGCTGAAATAATAATAATAGTAATAATAGTAATAGTAGTAGTAGTAGTAGTAGTAGTAATAATAATAATAATAATAATAATAATAATAATAATAATAATGTTGGAAGGGACCTTGGAGGTCATTAGTCCAACCCCCTGCTCAGGCAGGAAACCCTATACCATTTCAGACAAAGGGCTGTCCAGTCTCTTCATCATGATGATGATAATAATAAAGTTGGAAGGGACCTTGGAGGTCATCTAGTCCAACCCCCTGTTCAGGCAGGAAACACTATACCGTTTCAGACAAATGGCTGTCCAGTCTCTTCTTAAAAACTTTCAGTGTTGGAGCATTCACCACTTCTGGAGGCAGGTGGTTCCACTGGTTAAATTGTTCTAACTGTCAGGAAGCTTCTCCTTAGTTCCAGGTTGCTCCTTTCCTTAAGGGAATCACTGCAGTTAAGTTAGTAACACGGTGGTTGCGTGAATCTGGCTTCCCCGTTGACTCTGCTTGTCAGAGATGGTCACGTGACCTCTGGACATTGCAACCGTCATAAGTACATGCCAGTTGCCAAGTGTCTGAATTTTGATCACGTGGCCCTGGGGATGCTGCGACGGTCGTGTGAAAAATGGTCCTAAGTCACCGTTGTTCAGTGCCGTTGTAACTCCGAATGGTCACTGAGGAAATGGTTGTAACTTGAGGACCGCCCGTGCCTACGCACGGGCCCTCCTCTAGGCCAGCCCCTTCCCAACGTTTCCTGTTTCTTGGGTCTCCCGCAGGTTGCTGAGACGGAGCCTGGAGGGTCCCGGGCGAGCGGCCGAGATGCAGAGCATCAAGTGCGTGGTGGTGGGCGATGGGGCGGTGGGCAAGACCTGCCTGCTGATCTGCTACACCACCAACGCCTTCCCCAACGAGTACATCCCCACCGTCTTCGACAACTACAGCGCGCAGAACACGGTGGACGGCCGGACGATCAACCTCAACCTGTGGGACACGGCCGGCCAGGAGGAGTACGACCGCCTCCGGACACTCTCCTACCCGCAGACCAACGTCTTCATCATCTGCTTCTCCATCGCCAGCCCGCCCTCCTACGAGAACGTCAAGCACAAGTGGTACCCGGAGGTCTGCCACCACTGCCCCGACGTGCCCATCCTCCTGGTGGGCACCAAGAAGGACCTCCGCAGCAACCCCGACACCCTGAAGAAGCTGAAGGAGCAGAGCCAGCTGCCCGTCACCCCCCAGCAGGGCTCCGGCCTGGCCAAGCAGATCCACGCCGTCAAGTACCTGGAGTGCTCGGCCCTCAACCAGGAGGGCATCAAGGAGGTCTTCACCGAGGCCGTCCGGGCGGTGCTCAACCCGGTCCCGCCCAAGCCCAAGAAGCCCTGCGTGCTGCTCTGAAGGAGGCCAGGAGAGAGGAGGCCCTCGCCCTCTGCTTATGCCCAGGCGCCCTCTCCGCTCCCCACTCGCTCCTGCCCAAACCTTGCTCCTTAGGAAGGCTCAAAGACCCACTCAGACACGTGGTCTTTTCCCACCAAGGGGGAACCAAGGCCAGGAGGACTAGTCCTCGCCTTACGACCACTTTCCATTTCTAAGAAAGGGGGTGGCTAAATGAGACACACCTGATTTTTTTGACCCTTTTTTGCCACAGTTGCTAAGCAACAGCAATAGCACTTAGACTTACATACCGCCCCGTCAGGGCTCCACGGCCCTCTCTGGGTGGTTTACAGAGCCAGCATTGCTTAGCAAACCAAATAACAGAGTTGGAAGGGACCTGGGAGGACTTCTAGTCCAACCCCCTTCCTTCTCAAGAGGAGACCCAACGATCGGGGCCCTCATTTGGCCAACCTCGAAAGGACGGCTGTGGAATGCAGAGTCGGCCGGCGGTGCTGCGCTCTGGCCCCTGCGCCACCACGGCTCCCCCGTTAAGGGAATCCGCTGCTGTTGTTAAGCGAATCAGGCAGTCGTTAAGCGAACCCGGCGTCCCCCATTGACGTCGCTCGTCAGAAGCCGGCTGGGAAGGTCGCCGATGGCGATCACGTACTTGCAGGCCGGTTGCCAAGCGCCCGGATATTGATCCCATGGCCGTGCAGATGCCACAGTGGTCATAAGGGCAAGGACTGGTCGTAAGTCACTTTTTTCAGTGCTGTTGTAACTACGGTCACTAAGCACAAGTGGTCGTAAGTGGAGGACTGCCGGTACCCTCAACTATGCAAAGCTTCCTGAAATGCAGTTTTAGTGACGGTGCTAAAAAGGTGCGCCCAAAGGTGCTTTTTCAAGAGGCGACTGGACTGCCTTGGGCTTTCCCTTGAAGATGTTTCCCTTCTCCTCCTGGACGCTTCATCGGAACCGAAGCGAAGCCTCTCCTAGGAAAAACCAAGGCAGTCCAGTCGCCCCTTGGAAAACGGCACCTTTGGGAGAGCCGAGACCCGGATGACGGGGAACCTCCATAGACCAAGAAAAAAGATGTTTTTGTCCCATTTCTTTTCCATGCATCCCGGCCTTCGTTCTTCCCTGCTCCTGCCAGGCCGGGGGTAGGCAACCTTGGCTCTTTTATGACTCGTGGACTTCAACTCCCAGAATTCCTGAGTCAGCATGAGGGAAACTTTGGTCCCTTCATGACTTGTGGACTTCAACTCCCAGAATTCCTCAGCCAGCATGGGGGAACTATGGCCCCCTCATGACTCGTGGACTTCAACTCCCAGAATTCCTCAGCCAGCATGAGGGAAACTTTGGCCCCCTCATGACTCGTGGACTTCAACTCCCAGAATTCCTCAGCCAGCATGGGGGAACTATGGCTCCCTTCATGNTGGGGGAACTATGGCCCCCTCATGACTCGTGGACTTCAACTCCCAGAATTCCTCAGCCAGCATGAGGGAAACTTTGGCCCCCTCATGACTCGTGGACTTCAACTCCCAGAATTCCTCAGCCAGCATGAGGGAAACTTTGGCCCCCTCATGACTTATGGACTTCAACTCCCAGAATTCCTCAGCCAGCATGGGGGAACTATGGCCCCCTCATGACTTATGGACTTCAACTCCCAGAATTCCTGAGGCAGCATGGCTCAGCTTGGAAACCTCTCCCTTTCCCCTCAGCGTGGCTGGCTCAGGAATTCTGGGAGTTGAAGTCCACCAGTCATAAAAGAGCCAAGGTGGCCTAGCCCTGTGCCAGGCGATGCGCTCGCTCACTCGGGTGCCCGTCTGGAGAGACTGCCTGGCAGAAAATCCGCCCTGGGAGAGCGAGGATGAGGCAGAGGGCGGAGGTCCGCTTCCATCCCTCGCACTCAGCGCCGCCTGGTCCGAAAATCCCTCGGACCGCTGAGGCAGGCCAGGAGCGCCTTGCAGAATCAAAACATGCTAAGAGTTTTGGAAGCTGCTGGGCGAGGTGCCCCCTTTGCCGCCTCCTCCTCCAGCTCCACATCCTGTTTACAAAGGAAACGCTCCGTTTTCAGGGCCGGCCGTTCTGCGCTTCCGCCGCCGTCTTCTTTTTGCGAAGACGCTCCGTGGGCCTCCCGCTCCCACGGCCCTCCGCCGGGTGGTTTGCAGGTGGCTGGCTCTTTTCTCCTGCAGGCTCCTCGGTCAGAGGCCAAGGGGTGTCTCCTGAGCACCTCAAAAGAGAGAGACGCTCCCTGTCCTGCCACCCAAGACAGCCGGGTTCTGCACACGCTTCGTGTCGAGTGGAAACAAGAAAAGAAAATGGCAGAAGACACACACACATCCCAAATCCAGACTGTTCCCAGCCCCTCAGTTCAAACACAGCCTTTCTCGGCCTTCCGGGCCACCTCTGGAGAGGCCCAGCCATTGGTCGGCTGGGCTGCACCTTCATAGGGACTAGCAACTTGCTGGAATGGCTTGCAAGTTAGGATTCTCAGGATTCTCCATGCTCAGGTATACTTTCAGATGTTGTGGCTCGCAGCCCCTCGTGCCGGGTCACCCCCTCCGGGAGTTTTCTTCACCAGAAAGAGCTACGGGGGTCTCGCTGCCCGAACACCCCTCTGCCCAACCAATGCCTCCTCCTGTTCCTGTCCAGCTGACCACGTTCAGGGGCAGCGGCCTCACCGGCCCTTGGCCTGGAAGACTCGGGGAGGGGGGGCTCACCTGGCGTTCCCTGCGGTGATTTCCCTGCACAGGGGTCTTTTTGTCACCCCCCACCCAATAAAGATGGCAACTTCCCCCTTGTCTTTCAGGCTCTTTCCCATGTTGATCCGGGGGTCTGCATTATCCAGGGGTCTGGGACGATTCGCCATGGGACAACGTAACGTGAGATAACTGCCCGCTAGGCCTGTTCCCCGCTTATTATTAGCAGTAATAATATCTCAGGAACAATAATAATAATATAGTCATCTCATGTGGAATTGTCCCACAGGGCTTTGGCGGCGAGTTGTGCCATTCCATTATCCGCACAAGGACAGAGGTGGACGGGTCAGTTGAAGCCACGCCCTGCCTGGTTCTGCTTTCACGCTGGGTGTGATGGCTTCCGGTCACTGCTCCTGCCCATGGAGGTTCCATGGAGGCCTCCTCTGGGGCTTTAAGGGTCTCTTCTGTGCTTTGCCTTTCGTAAAGGCCCCTGTGAACAAGACGCCCCTTTGGCTGGCCAGCCTTTTATTGATTGCTTTGCACTTGGGCTGGGCAACTTGTGCAAGGCCAATGGATGTGTGTGTGTGTGTGTGTGAGAAAGAGAGAGCGAGAGCCCTAAGAGTTTCAGTGTGGGGAGGGTGAGACGGGAGGAGGCAGCGCCTGTAACACTTTTCCAGGGTCCAACACAAAGTTGCACATCCTCTGTAAAGGCTTTGCTCCACAACGTTGCTTACTATCATCTCCTGGAAGGTGGATTCTGAACTCAGGACCCCCTAGGTCTCCTCCTTAACGCTGGCCAAGGGGGGGACCATGCCAAGTCAGGTGCAGAAAATGTCTGACTCGGAGGAGGAAGGCCTTGATGGTCTATGCCAGGGGTCTCCGACCTTGTCCGCTTTTAAGACTCGTGGACTTCAACTCCCAGAATTCCCAGTTGAAGTCCACGAGTCTTAAAAGGAGGACAAGGTCGGAGACCCCTGCTCTATGCCAAGATGGAGCACAGCTCTTTCTTAAAGGGGGCAGGAATGTGGGGTGCTTTTTGGTCCCCCTCCACCGCAGACAGAACCAGATTTGACTGGGCCCAGTAAACCAGGCTGGGAAGCAGCGGTCAGCTCACCAGCACTTTGCTCAACCTCCCAGCCTGGAGAGGTTGCAGCTCTCGGGGCTGACCGGCGGCTTCTGCCCACATCTGGATCCACCTTCCGGCTGACTCCGTTTGATCTCCCACCGGCCAGCCCAGAGCGTCCCTCCAGCTCTGTGGGAAGACCTCCAACAAAGGGGCAATTCCCTCCCATCATGTGGCGGTCTGTTCCACCGGCTGACGCCTCATGCGTTCATGAAACTCCTTGCGATGTCTACTTTTAAGGTAGTCCAGGGGTAGGCAACCTTGGCTCTTTTATGACTGGTGGACTTCAACTCCCAGAATTCCCCAGCCAGCCACGCTGAGGGAAAAGGGAGAGGTTTCCAAGCTGAGCCATGCTGGCTCAGGAATTCTGGGAGTTGAAGTCCACCAGCCATAAAAGAGCCAGGGTTGCCTACCCGATGTAGTCCTTGACTTATGACGACTGAGCCCCAAATTGCTGTTGTGAGACAGATGTGAAGTGAGTTTAGCCCCCGTTTACGACCTTCCTCGCCACAGTGAATCACTGCAGTTGTTAAGTGAGTGACACGGTCATTAAGTGAATCTGGCTTCCTGGTCAGGTCATGGCCTCCCCCGGGACACGTGACCCCCCCCCAGGACGCTGCAACTGTCATAAGTACGAGTCAGTTGCCAAGCATCCAAATTTTGATCACATGACCGTGGGGATGCTACAACGGTCACAAGTGTGAAAACCGGTCATAAGTCACTTTATTCTGTACTGTTTTAACTTCAAATGGTCACTAAATGAACGTAAGTGGAGGACTCCCTGTGGTTTGTGGGCTCCGCTTGACCCTCTGAGGCTGGACCTTCTCCCGGAGAGGAGATATTTGAAGAGGGCTCTCATCTGTCTCCTCTTCCTTTCATTGTGCCCCCCCCCAGAGCTCCCTCCAATTTCTCACTGCCCCCCTTTGGGAAGCGGGGGGCCCAGAGCCGCACAGGGCATCGCCATCTGGAGCAGGGCCTCCCAACCGTGGCCTCTGTCAGACCTGAGGACTTCAACTCCCAGAATTCCCCAGCCAGTCAGGAACGGCCGAGTGGGAAGGAACCAGAAGGATCCCCTGGTCCCGTCTTTCTCCAACTGGGCAGCTTCTAGGACCCCTGGAGCTCAGCTCCCAGAATCCCCCGGCCAGGTTTCCCCAAATGGGGGGGGGGGAGGAGCAACTAACCCCCCCCCTCCGTTTTTCCAGAGGTCTCCTCGGCTGCAAGGGGGAAAAGAGCAGGGCCTGGGATCCGAGGGGCTGCAGACCGAGAGGGGGACGAGGGACAGACCGTGAAAGACCGGAGCCAGCGAGGACCACCACCACCATCACCCCCGGCACCCCCCCCCCTCTAAAGCCACCCGGACAACTCGCCTTTTTAAAAAAAATACTCGGTGCTTTATTTTGTGGGGAAAGTAAAAACTGGACGAAAATACATTATCTGGCGATGCGGATTTTCCCGCAGGAAGACGAGGAAGCAGAAGTGCCGCCCCTGGGTGACCCCGGGTCCCGGTGTCCGAACGCCTCGGCCTTCCGATGGCGCATGTGGGCTCAGGGCCCTCGACTCTGCCCCGGGGGTAGGGGGGGCGCAGAGGACCCTCCCAGCCTGGCTTCGGGGGGGGGGCGAAGAACCCTAGGCTCAGCCTTGCTTCTCCCGTCTTGTATTTATGACGGTTGCAGGGCCCGGAACCCGGAGCGAATCCACCTTTTCCTGCGTCCACATCCCAGCTTCAGAGAAGGCGCCGGACCCCGTCCAGCCCCTCTTTGGCGCAAATCGTTGGGCAGAGCTTCTCCTTCAGCCGGTCTTCAAGGGCGCCTCAGTTCCGGCTGAATGAGCCTCCGTTTTGGTCACACAGCCACCACACAACAACAACACACACACACACACACACACACACTCCCCAAGGCCTGTATCTTTGGAAGGGGGATCACTTTGAACATTTCCCCAGACTTCCAAGTCTCAGGATGGAAAGAGTCAAAGCAGGAAGGTTAACACTGTCAACGCACGGCAGCCATCCCTTCCCCCGGCCTGGGGGGGGTAGAGGGGTTTGGGTGGGAGGGGGACATCAGTGCAAAAGCTGGAAATTGAGGGGAGGGGGAGAGAGGGGTGTCTCAAACACCTTAGCCCCTCCCGCCCACTTGTTTCACCTCCGGGACCCAACCGGGCAATCGCCTTCCTTATAATGGGCACCCAAAATCCCAGGGGGGGGGGGAATCCTGTGGCTGAAGGAGGGGGCGAGCTGCAACTCCCCCATCAGGGAACAATTCCCATGGAAAGGGAGGTGCCCCCCACCATCCTGGAGGTAATGCCCCCCTCCCCAAGTTTTGGGCAGCAGTGGCCTTTACAGGCCCCCCCCCGACATCTCTCTCCGAGCAGTGTCCGTCAAGCCAGAGGCCGCAATGATTCCTGCCCACCTCTTATCGGGACTAAGCGGGTGGGGGGGGAGATGGAAGAGTCCTTCCTGGGGGGGGGCTCCTTCTCCCCTTCAGGATTCAGGGACGGCAGAGCCGGCGCAAAGCCCCCCCTTTCCAAAGCGACAGCACCGGCCCCCCCGTGACGAGATTCCCACGCCAGCCATGACTGTCCAGTCCTCGGCTAGAAGTGCTTCCCCTCCGGCGGGGAGCAGATGACCAGCTCCTTGTTGCCAAAGTCCCACCAGGCAGTCATGTGGAAGGCCATGTTGGACAGGACCACCAGGTACTCCAGGAAGGCGAAGACCGTGTACACTGCAGGAGGAAGCAGGGCACAGAACATGGAATCCTAGGGCCGGGAGGGGCCTTGGAGGTCTTCTAGTCTGTCCCTGGCTGGGGGGGTCCTGGGAGCGCCCCAAGTCTTAAAGGCTGCCGAGGCCGAGAACCTGCTCTAACCTTCTCAACTTGCTCATCAGAAATGAGCAGGGGGTTGGACTAGATGACCTCCAAGGTCCCTTCCAACTTTTATTATTATTATTATTATTATTATTATTATTATTATTATTATTATTATTATTATTATTATTATTATTATTATTATTACTACTACTACTACTACTACTACTACTACTACTAATACTACTACTTGGATGCGATATAAAGCAGGGGGCTGTAAATTTGGCAACTTTTTAAGACCGGTGGCCTTCAACTCCCAGAATCCCCCAGCCAGCATGAGAAACAACGGACAAGGTAATCCTTCTGGTCCCGTCCAACTCTATCATTCATGGCTAGGTAGGGAATTCTGGGAATTGAAGTTCCACCAGTCTTAAAAGCTGCCCAATTTGGAACCCGATGTGAAACAAAATCCAGGGTCTTCTGCTCCACACCGGGAGCCCCGTCTGCGTTCAACAGTTGGATCCACTTCTCATCCCTTCCAAGCAATGCTCTTTCTAAAGAGTGTTCCTGGCCATGTGCAAAAAAAAAACCACCCTTGCCTGGCTCAGAGGTCGAAAGCAGACCTTCTAACCTGGGCTTTACGGACCAAACGTCCCAAGTTTATTTTCAATAATCGGCAACGGAAAATTAATTTTTCACTCAATAAAATTTGCAGGTCAGGAAGGACTGATCTCTGGGCCCCCAGAACATGTGCTAACTTCAATAAATCTCAGTACTTAACATGATTGACACCCCCAAAGTGGTGTTTATACTGATTTAGTGGGCTAATAATGAAGGACGGACATTACTATGTTACATGCTTGTTCTTTTTAATGTTGTGGAACGCCATTAGGGCACAATTAATTTCCTTTGCCACACTGCTAGATCCCGGCCTTTAGCACGAGGCTTTTAAATACATCTTGCTCTGAGGAGGGTCCAAAGGGGACAAAAGGATTCTCAAAGGGGTTCTGGGCACAAAAAGGTCCCCGGTCTAAAGGCTTCAGCTATCGGACACTTGGAAGAGAAAGCAGTGAGCCCAGGAAAGGCCTAGCGCAGGGGTCTTCCAACTTGGCCCTTTGATGACTGGTGGACTTCAACTCCCAGAATTCTTCAGCCAGCGTGCCTAGCTGAGGAATTCTGGGAGTTGAAGTCCGGGGGGGGGGGTGTCTTCCAACTTGGCCCTTTGATGACTTGGGACTTCAACTCCCAGAATCCCTCAGCCAGCGTGCCTAGCTGAGGAATTCTGGGAGTTGAAGTCCAGGGGGGTCTTCCAACTTCACCCTTTGATGACTTGTGGACTTCAACTCCCAGAATTCCTCAACCAGCGTGCCTAGCTGAGGAATTCTGAGAGTTGAAGTCTAGGGGGGGGGGTCTTCCAACTTGGCCCTTTGATGACTTGTGGACTTCAACTCCCAGAATTCCTCAGCCAGCGTGCCTAGCTGAGGAATTCTGGGAGTTGAAGTCCAGGGGGGGTCTTCCAACTTGGCCCTTTGATGACTGGTGGACTTCAACTCCCAGAATCCCTCAGCCAGCGTGCCTAGCTGAGGAATTCTGGGAGTTGAAGTCCAGGGGGGGGTCTTCAAATGTGGCCCTTTGATGACTGGTGGACTTCAACTCCCAGAATTCCTCAGCCAGGCACGCGTCTTAAAGTGGCCAAGGTGGAGGACCCCTGCTCTAGAGGCCCCGAAGGCGAAGGAGGGCAGGACTCCGGGGCGTGCCCAGAGGAGAAAGCGGCCAGGGCCCCCTCCTTACCTCCAGCCTCGCAATACCAATTGTGACGGTAGTAGAAGCAGACGGCCACCAGGAAGGTGACCAGGTTGAAAATGAAAAGCCACCATTTCCACTTGTAGGACTTGTGCTCCTGTGGAGAGAAAGGTGGAGGGATGACTTCCCCCGGCCCCCCTCAGCCCCACACAAGCCCCCCCCCAGGCCTCTACACTCTGCTTTGCCCAGGCCAAGACTGGACAAAGCCCCTTGCGGGACCCCCCTGCCTCCTCCCTCCCTCCCATGGGGGCAGACAGGCAAAGCCTCCGGGGGTCTCCCGTTGCTCCTTTGTGCAAGCAGAAAGTAAAGCATAACCACTTTTTTTGGGGGGGGGACCCTTGGAAACCTAGAGGGCTCCCTCCGCCTCTAGATCCATCAGACCTGAACACCCTAATTTCATTCAAAATACCCCCCTCCCCATCCTGCTTCCATACAGGTGGTTCTCAACTTACGACCCCAATTGGATCCGACGCTTCCCTTTGTTAAATGAGACATTTGTTAAGTGAGTTTTGCCCCATTTTACGGACCTTTCACGCCAGAGGTATTAAGTGAATCACTGCACGGAACACGGTCGTTAAGAGAACCCGGCTTCGCCACTGACTTGGCTGGTCAGGTGACACAAGGGGATCACCTGAACCCGGGACGCTGCGACCGCCATCAATACGAGTCAGGGGCCTGCAGTCTGAATTTCGATCACGTGACTGCGGGGGAGGCTGCCACGGCCGTGTGAAAAACGATCAGGAGGCCCTTTTTTCAGTGCCGCTGTCACTTCGAATAGCCACTACTAAACGAACTGTTGCAAGTTGAGGACTTCCTGCAACAGCCAGAAGGAAAGACCCCCCCTGCCTCTTTGCAAAGTCTGAGGAGGATCGCAGGGGGCCCGAGGAGACGGGCTGGGGGGCTTGAGAAGGGCCACCAGGCTGGGCAGAGGGAGTGGAAGAGGGTCACCGCTGAGGCCGGAGAAAACCCAGAGAATTCGGGACAGGACGTCCTGGAGAACCTTCAGCCTCTCCTCCTGACCCATGCCGTGGTCAGGCAGGTGTCCAGAAACTGCCCCTCCAAACTGGAAGCTGCCCCGCTGCTTCCCTAGAGCAGGCTGAGCCAGCCCCTCCGTGGGAAGCTGCTGAGCCGTCCCCCCCCGCCGAATGATGCACGGGAGAAACGCCACGTGCCGGAAAAAACAGCTTTTGTGCAGCCCTGGTGTTTACTGCTCTCTGCCCTGCTGGCCAGCTCTGCAGATGCCTCTGGTGGACCCCTCAGTGCGGGGCTAGAAAGATCTTTGGGCCTCACCCAGCTCTGCGCCCGTCCTGGAGCCTCAGCATTCCACACCATCCCGGGGCTGGAAGGGACGGAGCCACAGAGTTGGAAGGCAGTCCGAGCCCCTGGCCAAGGCAGGAGACCTTGTATCATCCCAGTCAAACGGTTCTCCAATCTCTCCTCGAAAGTCTCCAGTGATGGAGCACCCACAACGTCTGGAGGCAGGTGGTTCCACTGGTTAATTGTCCTCACTGTCAGGAAGTTTCTCCTTAGTTCCAGGTTGCTTCTCTCCTTGATGAGTTTCCATCCGTTGCTTCTTGTCCTGCCTTCGGGCGCTTTGGAGGATAGCTTGACCCCCAATTCTTCTTTGGGGCAGCCCTCCTATATTGGAAGACTGCCATGATGTCACCCCCTGGTCCTTCTTTCAATTAAACTAGACCAGGGGTAGGCAACCGTGGCTCTTTTATGACTCGTGGACTTCAACTCCCAGAATTCCTCAGCCAGCATGGGGGAAACTATGGCCTCTTCATGACTTGCAGACTTCAACTCCCAGAATTCCTCAGCCAGCATGGAGGAACTATGGCCCCCTCATGACTGGTGGACTTCAACTCCCAGAATTCCTGAGCCAGCATGGGGGAACTTTGGCCCCTTCGTGACTCGTGGACTTCAACTCCCAGAATTCCTGAGCCAGCATGGCTCAGCATGGAAACCTCTCCCTTTCCCCTCAGCATGGCTGGCTCAGGAATTCTGGGAGTTGAAGTCCACGAGTCACAAAAGAGCCAAGGTTGCCTACCCCTGAACTAGACAAACCCAATTTGCGCAACCGTTCTTCACATGTTTTAGCCTCCCATGCCCTGACCATCTCTGTCGCTCTTCTCCGCACTCTTTCCAGGGTCTCAGCCTCTGAAGAACATCCCCGTCTGGACCGGTCAATGGAAGAGGCTGGTCAAGCGTAACTCAAGCGCTGCTGCAGGCAGAGCAAATTCCGAGCGGCTTCAGATACAAAACTAGACAACATCCTTTCATCGGCTGCCTGACTCAGCTAGCCTGAGACAAACCAGGGCTGCCAGGGTAGATCTGCAAAGGGTTTATTTAGGGCAGAAAGGGGAGGACCCTGAGGAACAGCTACGGGGAGCATCACATGCGGAGGCTACAAATAGCCGACGATGCGGTTTCAGTTTGAGAAAGTTTGCAGAAGGAGCTGCGCTCTGGATGCGACCCAGAGGCTGAAAAAGTCCCCGGCAGATCATTCATCTTTAGAAAACTCTTTTGTCACCACTGAGGTCCCGAGAGCTGGTGCTGCAAACTAAACTCTCTTTGAAAAATTCCCCCAAGCAGAACAACTTGTGCACAGTCACCCATGCTCTTGTCACCTCCCGCCTGGACTACTGCAATGCTCTCTACATGGGGCTCCCCTTGAGGAGCACTCGGAGGCTCCAGTTAGTCCAGAATGCAGCCGCGCGGGCGGTGATGGGAGGGACTCGTCGCTCCCATGTAACACCGCTGCTGCGCGAGCTGCACTGGCTGCCTGTGGCTTTCCGGGTGTGCTTCAAGGTGTTGGTCATCATCTTCAAAGCGCTCCATGGCATCGGACCTGGTTATCTCCGAGACCGCCTTCTGCCTCCGATTACCTCCCATCGGCCGATACGCTCCCACAGGGTGGGTCTCCTCAGGGTGCCGTCAGCCAGACAGTGCCGGCTGGCGACCCCAAGGGGGAGGGCCTTCTCTGTGGGAGCTCCCACCCTCTGGAACGAATTACCCCCAGAGATCCGGGTGATCCCGGATCTCCCTTCCTTCCGCTGCGCCCTCAAGACATGGCTATTTAAGTTGGCAGGACTGGCCTAAGGGTTATTTTTTAGCTGGGTTTTATAATAATTTTTAAAATAACAAAGGCCTAATAATATTTCATCTTAATTAACATTTTAACTGTATTTTTTTGTATTTATGTATTTGTTTTTAAAAGGCTGTAAGCCGCCCTGAGTCCGCAGGGAGAAGGGCGGGGTAAAAATATAAATAATAAATAATAAAATAAATAAACCATCTTTGAAAGAAGAGCAAAAACGCCACGCGTAGGGCAGGCTAAGCAGGGCAGGCAAAAGTGCAACACACAGCAGGAAATCTCTCCACAAAACCTCTTGACAAAGCCGGTCCCCAGACGACAGAGCAGAAGTCCCACCTCTTCCGACCCCAGGTCTTTTATTCAAAGGCATCGGAATTCCTCAGCTGCAGCGGAATAAAACGTGCGTGAAATGGAAGAGGAAGAGTTACTAGACTTCTGCTGATTTGCAAACTGACGTAGAATTCATAAAGTCGTCTTGCAAAATCCTTTCTCCGTCCATCTTCAGCTGAGCCAGATAATGTCTCCTCAACATCTGGCAACTACTTGGCCAGGCCTGCATCACTGGAGGCTGGATTTCTTTGTCCGCTTCGTATTTTTATGAGCTTATCAAAAATATGAAATACGAAGAGAAATTCGAAAAAGCAATAGAAAAGTAGGAGGAGGCTGAATTTCTGAAGGAAATTTCTTTCTGCTTTTTCTTTCCCTCCCCAGTCTCTTCTCTTCTCTTTTCTCCTCTTCTCTTTTCTCCTCTCTTCTCCTCCTCTCCTCTCTTGCGTCTTTGGCCTGGCCACGGATCCCCAGGATCAGGCCCCAGGCAGGCTTTGAAGTGGGTGGGGCTGGGTGAACCCAGGCCCAGCGAAGGGCCGCAAACAAGCTGCGATGTGAAAGTTCACACAGGAAGTGGCAGGCGGGAACCGGGAACCGCCGTGCTTGTGCATCCTGTGTGCAAATCCTCCTTCCGTCCTTAATGGGGGCAGACGGCCTTAAGCCCAGACTGAGCACCTGCCCTCCATCATCCACAACACCCGCCTCCCCCACGGGAGCCTATGGCGAGTCTGGAGGAAAGGAGGATTAGGGGGTACATGATAGCAGTCTTCCAGTATCTCAGGGGCTGCCCCAAAGAGGGAGTCAAGCTATTCTCCAAAGCGCCCAAAGGCAGGACAAGAAGCGACGGATGGAAACTGACCAAGGAGAGAAGCAACCTGGAACTAAGGAGAAATTTCCTGACAGTGAGAACTATTAACCAGTGGAACAACCTGCCTCCAGAAGCGGTGAAGGCTCCAACACTGGAAGTTCTTAAGAAGAGACTGGACAGCCATTTGTCCGAAATGGTGTAGGGTTTCCTGCCTGAGCAGGGGGTTGGACTAGATGACCTCCAAGGTCTTTTCCCCCTCTGTTATTCTCTATTCTCCCATGGCTCACACAAGCAGAATTAACCACGACCATCCCCACCTCAGCATTTCCTGCCCACATTCTCTGCACAGCCACAACCTTCAGGGTCACCTGGAGCACCTTCAACCCCTCACCCCCACCACAACCAAGGTCAAAGGTGAGAAGGTCTAAGGAGGAGGAGGGCCAATAGGAGGATTCTGAGGGGTCCCGTTTAATTTACAGTTATAGTAGAGCTGATGGCGTTGGCGCCAATAGTCGGGAACCCGGATGCACAGAAAGAGAACAGGAACCTCCCTTAAGCCCTGGAAAGGGAGAAAGGGATGGCTGGAGAATTCTGGGAGTTGAAAAGTCCTGCCCTACACTGTCTGGGACCCCAGAGCCCCCTTCCCTCCCCCCCAATGAAGTTGTACCAGACACCCAGTACAAGCAGGGCCCAGGGGCAGAAAGTAATCAAGGCAAGCCAGGAAAACAGACACTGCCTCCTGGTGGTCCAGCACTCCCCCCCTCTCCCTCCCACACCCGGCAAGGGGGCAGAACCCCCGGGTCAGGCCAGGGAAGGCCCTACTACAGCCTCCCCACAGGGGTCACCTCCGAGTAAGCGGCCCTCAAACAACACAGGCAGGAGAGCAGAGGGGTAAAGGGGACCCAAGGGTCTCCTTTACCCAGCAGACTCCAGTCCAAAGAACACACCGACGACAAAGCCAGGCAGACGGGGTCTTGATACGCTGAGCTTGGCGGTTTCCTTGCAGACGTTTCACTACCAGAGTAGGTGACATCATCAGTGCTCACGGTTGTTGCCACTGTCCTCCTCCTCCCCCCCAGCAAAGCCCCCCACCCTTCTAGCACTGATGAGGTTACCTAGTTGGGTCATGAAACGTCTGCAAGGAAAGAGAGAGCACCAGGGACCCCACAATCCAACTCTGAGTACAAATACACTCTTCTGTTGGTGAAACTAGGCTGTAGGATGCCAAAGTTAATATTATTATTATTATTATTAATAATACTAATACTAATACTAATACTAATAATAATAATAAAGTTGGAAGGGACCTTGGAGGTCATCTAGTCCAACCCCCTGCTCAGGCAGGAAACCCTATACCATTTCAGACAAATGGCTGTCCAGTCTCTTCTTACAAACTTCCAGTTCATTTAGTCCAGTGTTTCTCAACCTTGACAATTTTAAGACATGTGGACTTCAACTCCCAGAATTCCATAGCCAGCAAAGCTGGCTGTGGAATTCTGGGAGTTGAAGTCCATATGCCTTAAAATTGTCAAGGTTGAGAAACACTGATTTAGTCCCTTCCACACCAGGCAACTAAACCAATTGTGTGTCCAAAAACACAGCCTCTGCCTCAGCCTTGAACCAACCCGCCCCCTCCCCCCTGGGGGCTCCTGCTTCCCAGAGGCCTCAGCCCCTGTCTGGCTGAAGTTGCTACAGACTGCAGGCCATTTGCAGCCTGGGCAGCGCCAACTTTGGCCGAGGGCGCATTTGAAAGAACTGCCCCCTTCTGCGCCAGACCCCGTTTCTCCCAAGGAGAAATACTGCACCCTCCCACTTGGGATGAAGGGGGGGAGGCTTTGTGAAACTCACAGCCTGGGACAATGTCTCAAGGACACCGACCTCAGAGACCTCCTGTCCTGGTTCCAACAGATGAAACTCTTCGAAAGAACTTTGAGGCATTGTTTACCTTAAAGAATCTTTTATTTGAGTAGCATAACATCGGCACTGCATAATCGAAGCCAAAAACCGAATTCCCCTCCCCTGAGCCCATAGTATCAAAGCACAATTCCCTCCTCCAATTAACTGTCATAAATCACATTCCCCAATTAGCTTGAAGCACGGGCTTCCTCTCTCATTCTCCAGCCCCAAGTCGTTATCATCTCTGGTTATAATAACCTTGATTCTCATGCTAGGTTTAGTGTTGTTATGTCTAGCTGGACTCTCATTCACATCCCCTCCCCCAGCATCATCTAACTCTAAAAACGAAAGGGAAAAAGAGGGCTACATGTCCATCTGTTGTCAATGCAAAAACATCCGATGTTAACAGCGTTGACACCTTCCACACCCATCCACCCCCAGCAGCTTTCTGCAATGTTTCTCAATAGAACCTGTTTCACCAGACCAGGCGTTGCAAACCGCCTCTTCACAGGAGACGGACAGCCCTAACGAGATCACCCAACGAAGGACAGACCAAGCATTTGCTTGGCTGGAGTCTGATCATGTGGCTTCTACCTGGTGCAGCGTCACCAGATGTCCGGCATAAGGACCAACACCCTCTCTGTCCTCACATCCTGCACCTGACAGGCGTAGCCTTAAAATCCAATATATGTCAAAACTGCCACCTGATTGTCAGTTTGCCATGAACCCTGGGGGGAGGCTGGGAGGGAGGGAGGGCGAAGGCTTTGGGGAGGGGGGGAAAACGAAACTGAACTGTGAGAACAGCGCTCTGCGAGAACCCACAAAGTCTCCAGGGTCCTTTCCCCAGGAGCAGAATGCCCCCCACATAGGGTGACCATTTCCAAAACATCTCTTTTAAAATGAATTGGACAATAGCACTGTTCCAGTATCTCAGGGGCTGCCCCAAAGAAGAGGGAGTCAAGCTATTCTCCAAAGCGCCTGAAGGCAGGACAAGAAGCAACGGATGTAAACTAACCAAGGAGAGAAGCAACCTAGAACTAAGGAGAAACTTCCTGACAGGGAGAACAATTAACCAGTGGAACCACCTGCCTCCAGAAGCGGTGAATGCTCCAACACTGGAAGTTTTTAAGAAGAGACTGGACAGCCATTTGTCTGAAACGGTATAGGGTTTCCTGCCTGAGCAGGGGGTTGGACCAGATGACCTCCGAGGTCCCTTTCAACTTTATTATTATTATGGATCATCGCACAGTCAGCCAGATGTTCAGACTGGATTTGGCCTTTTTGTCTACCTATCGAGTCCTTCCCAAGGACCTGGGATAGTCAGATGTGGATGTTTGATGGTATTACGGATCTCGTCGCAGGATGGAAGCCGTTCCTAGTAAGGCCGCCTTTTGCAATTGACTAATGGCGAATTTGTCAATGCCGATGATGGTGTTCAAGTGGTGCTCCAGTTGTTTTGGGGTTGCACCCAAGGCGCCTATGACTATTGGTACTACCCTTGGTACTACTACTACTACTACTACTACTATTACTACTACTACTACTACTACTAATAATAATAATAATAATAATAATAATAATAATAATAATAATAATAATAATAACGGTGCTCCAGTTGTTTTGGGATTGCACCCAAGGCGCCTGTTACTATTGGTACTACCCTTGCTTACCTTTGCCACACTCTTTCTATTTCTATTTGTAGGTCTTTGTATTATTATTATTATTATTATTATTATTAATCATCGCACAGTCAGCCAGATGTTCAGACTGGATTTGGCAGTTTTGTCTACCTATCGAGTCCTTACCCAGGACCTGGGATAGGCAGATGTGGATGTTTGATGTTATTACAGATTTTGTCGCAGGATGGAAGCGGTTCCTAGTAAGGCTGCCTTTTGCAATTGACTAATGGCAAATTTGTCAATGCCGGTGATGGTGTTCAAGTGGCGCTCCAGTTGTTTTGGGATTGCACCCAAGGCGCCTGTTACTATTGGTACTACCCTTGCTTGCTTTTGCCACAGTCTTTCTATTTCTATTTGTAGGTCTTTGTATTTTGTGATCTTCTCCAGTTCTTTCTCGTCTCTTCTGCTGTCTCCAGGCACTCCCACGTCCACTCTCCAGACTTTTTTGTCTTTCTTATCGACAATTGTTAAGTCCGGGGTGTGTCCCTTCCAACTTTATTATTATGATTATTATGATTATTATTATTAGGAGACAAACAGTGGGAAGGGACCAAGGCAAGAGAGATGTACCATTTTCAGTTCTGGCTTTGCGCTACTGCAATTCCCTTCGCTTCTAGCAAACTAGGACCTTTCTGAACAAACGGAGGTAAGGATCGTTTTTACTTAGAAGCCCAAGTGGAGGGAGGCCTGACAGTTACGTAACCCTTAACTTACAACCATTTATTTAGTGGCCAGGGGACTGGAAAAAGTGGCATGGCCGTTTTTCACACTTTCACTGCTTCCCCAGGGTCACGCGTGATCAAAATGTGGACTTTTTGACAACTGGCATGTATCCCAGGGTCACCTGACCACCGTTTCTAAACTTCCCCGCCGGCCTCTGACAAACCAAGTCCCTGGGAAATCAGATTTGCGTAATGTCCGGGTGAATCACTTAACTGGCAAAAAGGTCATAAAATGGGACAAAGGTCATTGAACAACTGCCTTGCTTATCGACGTAAATTTTGGGCTCAGTTGTGGTCGTAAGTCAAGGACTGCCTGTGTCGTCTGGCTTTCCGAGTGTATCTTCCTGAACAGCTTTTTTTCCCTAATAAGCAGCGGCTGGCAAGTTAAGAAGCCCCGTGACCAGGATGGGGCAGCTGCTGCCTGGAACGGTTGAACCGCCAAAGAAATAAAAAATAAAAAAAGACCAGGATCAAATTATCCCACTCTGGACAAACTTCACGAAGACCCAGCTCTCCAGAGAAGCCTCTGGAGAAGAAGGGATGGCCAGCAGGAAAGGTGGAGGGACTCAGTCCCAGTGGACACAGCTGGAAGACCTGAAGGAACAGGCTGGGTGCAGATCATCACGGGGAAGATCCATTTATCCACTCTGTTAAGAGTTGACAACTTGAGGGTGCATAATCAATCAATCAATCAATCAATCAATCAATTTCCTATCTAGATAGATACCTTTTCTAAGGCCTGCTCTACCCTGCACTAGTCTGAGGTGTCTTTCTTAACTGCTTATTCCTTTAGTGTGGAGAAAATCTACGTGGTGGCTAAAAGGTGAGAAGAACGTGATGGCACCCCACCAACCCGTCACTCAGGGGCCCAAAGGAGAAGGCAGCTAGAGGGGAGCAGTCCTACCTCGGGAGTGATGGCGTACTTCTTGGTCATACCCCAGAGCAGGCAGGTCAGGAACATGTGTCCGAGGGCCGAGACGATGAAGAGTCTGAAGGCGTGCTGGTGGAAGGCTGCAGGGGAGACCAGGAGGAAAGAGGTGACCATGTGGGAGAGGCAGGGGAGATGGGGGGGGCAGAGAAGGAGGGGAGTAGGGAGGAAGACAAGGGGAAGGGAGGGGGTGACAGGGAGGAAGACAAGGGGAAGGGAGGGAGGGGGTATGACAGTATTTTTAGTAGAAGCGGCCTATTTTAAATATTTATTTTTAATCATTTTTAAAATTTGTATGGTATTGTATTATTGTTTTTAAACTGGCTGTAAGCCGCCCTGAGTCCTCCGGGAGAAGGGCGGGGTATAAATTTAATAAAATTCAAAATTCAAATTCAAATTTAAGACAAGGGAGGGGACAGGGGGGATGGTGAGGAAGGATGCAGAGCGTGATGCCCCCCCCCCAGATGCTTCCCGAAGGAAGATGAACCGGTCCCAGGCACGTCAGAGGGGGGGCGGAGTTGCTCAATGGCTCCAAGCAGCCGTCCGAGAGGGATTCGGCTGAAGCGCAGCTGCAGCAGGACAGCCCTGAGGCTTCGGGTGGGAAAAACAGGACGAGGAAGAGGCACTGCCGGCTGCACCAGATCCGAGAACAGGCAGCAGGGCAGAGAAAAGGCAGGAGCAGAGAAGGCCAGCCAGGTCACCCGCGAGGAGAAAGCCCCGCCCTGCCAGAAGCTGCTCCTGAGCACGGCAGAGAGAGGAAAGCCACGCTGTTTGTTTTCTGGCTGCGCGTTCTTGCCTCGAACTTCCAACGGGCTCTCTTCCACTCTTGCCTTGGCCTGTGGCCTGGCCTGGGCAGCCGGCTTTGGCCCGGCGGACCGGACTCCCCTTTGCCTGGAGGAAGAGGGGTGCCTCCCTTCGAGCGGCCCCCCTGTGTGGAACTCATTGGGGTGGAGCCGGGACAAAGGCCCCCTCCGCCCCTGGGGGTGAGTGTGTGTGGGTGTGAGAGGGATGCCACTGGGGGGGAAGGGGGAGAGTGAGTGAGGGGGTAGGGGGAGAGGGACAGGGAGAAGAGGGGGGAGGGAG